TTTGTATGATGTAAAGCAGTTTCGGTAGTAAAAATAAGTGAAAAGAATTCCTGAACTAGGTCGCGTCGTGTTGTGCTGTGACAATTTCAAATGTTAATAAAATTGCCGAAAAAAATGTTAACGCGTAAAGAAGAGCGTAATTAGGGCGTTGTTGGGTGCAATAACATTCGATAACTCAACTTTCCCGGATATTCAACTCTCCCGAAGCAACGTTTTATAACTCTCATAGTTTCTCACACCGATTTGATCAAAAGCAAAAAATGGATTCAAGCAGTTCGACGAAACAAGTGAGTAAACAAAGTGCTCGTTGCATAATCAAAAAATTGAATAGACATATATATGAGAGGATAAAATATAATTAGCAATATTAATGGTATACTTTTTTTAATCACCTAGTGACTAAATGTTTTATGAACATCTTCTAAAATTATAATTATGTACCTTAAAAAAAATTCGTTATAGTTTCTGCCTTTCGAAATAGCCCCAATTATGCCCCACTAGCAAACCGATGATTAAAACTATGCTCGCTACCGTAATTGAACTCATATAAAAAGTTTTTAACTAGTATAATAAATTATAATACAAGTTAGACCTTCTGCTGATATCAAAATATTTACTTTTTTATTTTTAGTTTTAGAATTTTCACAAATTATACTTCCTAACACTTAATAATAAATGTTTCATATTCTCGCCATTTAAATCCGTGTATTGCAAGTACTAATTGTTTACGATGTTCTCCGATGGTGGCAGCGCCGGCGGGAATGCACTAAGCCTATAGATTTGTTGTATGTAGTGTTTTATTAAACACAATAATTTGTACCAACTTATTTCTTTGTAAAATAAAATAAACTAGTTTGAAATTAAAATGACAGACACATCAATCACTGTCCAGGATTTTCTCGTCGAACAGAATATATAGAGTGAAAGTAACAAAATCTGACAGGATAAAACCTACCTTGTTTGATCGTTGGGACTATCTTAGTATCTCCCTTTGTTCGTTGTGGAGGGCAGAGCGATGATGGGCTTGCCTTTTCCGTCAAAACCTTCGGCAGCACCTCGTAAAAAGTCAACTTGACCTCCGAACCCTGAGTACATCCTTGTACCTATCGAGTCTCTGAGACTATCTGTCCTGGTCAAATCTACATTCTCTATGCACGAATTGATGGCTGTCATCCCTTGGGTTCCCTTGCAATACCTAGCAAGAGAAAAGAAGATTTAAAAACTATTCAATATTAGTTTGTTTTTCATGGATATGATTTGTATAATTATTTCTTATATTTATATTGAGCGAATTTTGCGAAATACGAAAAAAATATACTTTAATTATCTTTATGAACTTACTGGGTATTATTCACAATAATCCACCAACATCTCAATAAATGGATTATTATCAACGAAGTCATACAGCGCCTGCGTGTTCCAATAAGGAAAGAAACCCTCCTGCCTTTGTGAATGATCTTCCTGTTGTTGGTTATTGCAACCCCTGTTCACCAGGTCGATCACGCCCCCGGCAAACATCTCAGAATGGATTCCCAGATCCTTGTGATTGGTTAGAGCGGTAAACGGCATCGGGTATGCTTCCCAATACCTAATTTTGAAATATTTAAAATCAGCAAATCTACTGAAAAAAATGTAAGTTTGGCAACACCGCAATTTTTTCTAAATTCGCCAATTTGAGCTTCAGAGTAGAAAATAAACATAATATTATAATTCGGCAATTCTATTGAAAAATTACAAGTCTGGCAACGTCGGTGCATTTGTATTTTGGCGAACATCTCAGAACAGATTTCCACATCAGTAAGAATTGTATTGGGTATAGTTCCAATACCTGATTTAAAATCTAAAAAAAAATCAGTAAATCTACTGAAAAAATATATAATCTCGCAAATACCGCATTTTTTAAATTCGCCAATTTGTACTTCAGACTAGGAATTAAACATAATATTACAATTGAAAAAATTCTAATGAAAAAAAAAATCGGGCAATGCTGGAGCCTTTTCGTCTATCAATCTGAGCCTTAGAGTGAAAAAATATTTATAATAAAGTAACCGGAAAAGGGCTATATTTGCAGCGTTGTCAAGTGTTACTTACCCATTTGCAGCGTTGCCCCATCTTCGACCAAATTTTCGGCGATATTTTTGCCGATCTTCGTTTCGACTTCTGCTGGGCGGTTTGCCGCCGTGAACTGGCAACGGTGTATCGACTTTGACAGCGTAATCTATGTGACTGATGTGGATAATACCGTCGCCGAACGTTCTAGGCAACTTGGGATTCACCTTGAGCTAAAAAAAATAAATAGAAAAAAATAGATTATGGCCTAAAAAGTGTTTCTTTTTCAAAAAAGTCTCACCTACCTACGATTATTTTTTGAATGCGTCATACCGGCTCTGACGCAATCGACACTGGTACCTAAACTGCAGTAACCATGCTGATCTGGCGGCGAAACCTGGTATAATTATGTATCTTTAAAAAAAAATCGATCATTTTTTTACTGGTTCTAATGTCTAAAACGAAAATCAGTAGATTTGGGGAAAAATTAAAAAATCTGGCAACATTGAACTGCACGTTATAACTAGACGAAAAGTTTAAATTAAAAACTTGTAGCCAACATAATATACTTCTCCTGACGTAGTTAAGGGTAAAAAGGTACTTTGATATACAGGGTGTAAATGGAATAGTGCGAGAAAAATTCAGGGGCAAGACTGTTATTCTGAGAAAAGAAGGGATATTCATATATTTTTTTGATTGGTTCGCCGTTTTTTTCTCAAATTTATTCATTTGTTATTCCTGTATATTTATATATCAGTCACACCATAATCGAAAAAAACGGCGTCCAAAGACAGCTGGGAAAATGACAATCGTTGATAATTTTTGGCGAGGTCAATCTCTATACGTCATTAAAAATTGACATAAAAAACTTGTCAAAATTAACACTACTTTATAGGAAATTTAGAAGAGTAGTATAGGTCAAGTAAATAACATCTAGGGCTTGACCTCGCTAGAATTATCATCGATTGTCATTCACCAGCCAGTCATTGACGCCGTTTTTTTTTTTTCGATAATGTATATGGTATTTAAATCTCATTAACTGGGACATAGTTTTATTTTATATTTCTTTATCACATAAAAACGTACAGTGACTCTATACTAAGTAGTAAATTATTTACAATTGATAAAACTGTTTTAAATAAATAGTCTTATGTTTTATTTTTTGCTTTCTAAACAACCTTATCTTTATGTACTTAAATATCAATGCGGACAATGGTTGCTAGATAGATAATTTAAATGTATTTTGATGTACTCCAAGCATAAAATTGTAATCGCAAGAATAACTATTATTACAAACTAATAAGGATTATTTTTTCATTAAGTTCTGTTGTGATTTTAAAATAGCTAAATATAAGTACTTCTATCTGTAGCTCTAAAAAGTTTTGTAAAATATACAAGAAATTTAAAAAAAAAACATAGGCGTGTTTCTGGGGATAAATTATCATTTTATGTAAACTATTTATCTATTTAAAAACAATTTTTACCTGAATAACAGCTATGTCAGGCTTGATAATTTGTTTATAAAACAGAAGTGGGATTTCTGACAAAATATATGGGAATAAGCGTCACCCCTGCCATCAGCTACAGCCTTCCTCACATTGCCTCCCATAAAAAACGAACAAGACCTACAAATAATAACTCCATAAAATAGAAGAAATGGAGAAATATTTTCTATAGTTTGACTTGCCTAAAAATACCCTCACAATTAAGGGTCAGTGTAAGCCATGGACCTTCCGGTGTGCATATGACAAACTGTAATGTCTTTTAGGTTTTTCTTTTTACCCACTTCTGTCATAGCTGTCAACAGGGCTATAGGGGTGGCCACGCAGCCCCCTGAGAAAAACTGTTTGGCCTAAAAAGATACACCCAAAAAAAATCAGGCATTTATTACATCTGAAACTTTATTATTTATTTAAATAAACCAAACATTTCTATAGAAATTTTAAAAATTTTCATCATTTCACAGAAAATTGTATTACAAACTACAAATAAACACCACTCAAGCATATAATTAAGTACATTTTATACGAGTTTGATAAATAGATGTAAGAAAAATAAAACAATTTTCTTAGAATTTGGTCCTATAAATAGACTATTAAAATAGAATTTGATCTAAATATTCCAATAATATCAGGATAAAGTCTGGATGTGAACGTTCTGTGCCAATAAACTTCATGTTCAAAATATAGCTAATTTAATGAAAAATAAGCCATATTTATTAGTCTAACACTTTGCTTCAATTCTTGACTGAAAAAAAACATCTCTTCTAATAATAGATTTCACACAGAAATAAATTATATCAATTCTACAAATTAATATATAATATTTTCCAGTCAAATAAAGAACACCTCATGATACAGAAACAAGATAAAGAAATGAGTTATTACTGAATTAAATACTTTAATACTTTTATCAGAAATATTTCAAAATATTCAATAAAAATATGTTTCTTAACTGAAAAATAATCAAACAGGCCAAGTCTATGTTTAATATTATTTTAAAACTGATTGGAGATGTCCCTAATTAAAATAACAAACAGAAAAAAACTCGAGAACTTAATCAAAAATAGAAATATTTGAATAACAAATTTACCACGTTAAAAACTGAATTAGACATATTAATTCAGCGTTTGATAAACCACATACCAGTCAAGTAACAAAGCTTATTATTGAAAGAACGTACAATATCAAAGACCAAAGTTCACTAGCGTGCATTTAAGTTGCATTAATCTCATTGTCAATAATATGTATAAAATACCATATTTGATATGGCTCACATACCTGACTGTAAATCTTGAAAAGCCTCCTCTGCGGTCACCCATTTGGGTTCTTTTTCCCTGAATGGGTTGAGCAGGTTCGTTAACGTACGTAAAATAAGTTCTGGGAGCCGCCACTGCCTTCAGGGGGCAAAGCCCTAGCTCCAATCTTGTTGGACAAACTTCTTAATGTTACTGCCATGTTTTTCTGGGGGTTTATACAGCCAGGAAATGAATCGTACACGTAGAACTGGATTTGAAGGTTTATCCCACCCGTAACAAGCTAGATGGAAATTGATACTAGCTGAAAAAATTAAAAATATTATGAACCGTACACAGGTTTAAATTATTTTTGACAAGTACGTGCGATTCGATTGACGTTTACAGATTATGGATTATATCAGTGGTAAAATGTTATTTATGATTATTATTTAATTAATCACAAATATTTACGGTATTTCCTGTAATTCTCAATTATTTCTAAACAGTTTAAGTTATTTTTCTTAAATATTTAAATTAAAAATAAATAAGGCCGATAAAATAGAAATCCTTCCAAGATTTTTTTACTTCTTCTACTGTCCGATAGATGGACCCAGTTATAGAAAACTGCAGAAATTACAAGAGCTCACATGACAAATTACGCAAGAACTGTCAGTTGAAACGTCACGTGTCAGAAAATTAAAGTTTTTGTCAGTCGATGGTGGATTTTGGTTTGGCAGACACGTAAAAACTTGGGTCTAAAATGTCTTACCGAGTCGAGTTTATCGGCCAAACAGGCCACCAGGGAACACGTCCTCGCAGTGTCCAGGAGATTTCGTATCGCAGCCCAGAGATTGAGTGAGTATTTTTTTGGTGTTTTTCTAATCGCTAGATCTCGAGACTTGAAAGATCGAAAAAGTTCCATTTAAATTTGGGGCCGGACCCTTAATTTGCTATTTAGGCCGTTTATAAGTGACGAATATCGAGTAATAATGCGTTAGACGGTTTTTATTTGTTATAAAAACTAAGTTTTTCGGGGTAATATTCGTTAAAAAACATCGATGTTTTGTGTCATGTGACCATACATATGACTGCCACCCTTTACAATATCTTTCGTTTTTAAAGCCTACAAGATTTGCGGTGTCCGGTGTGAATGGACCCTTGGTCATTCTCGAAGATGTGAAATTTCCTTGGAATTCAACGGAAATCGTCGAACTGAAATTGGCCGATGGAAGTCTTAGGTCCGCCAAGTTCTGGAAGTCAGCGGTTCCAAGGCTGTCGTTCAAGTATTCGAAGGAACATCAGGCATTGACGCTAAAAACACACTATGTGAGTTCACCGGAGATATTTTGAGAACCCCTGTATCAGAAGACATGTTGGGAAGAGTTTTAACGGCTCAGGAAAGCCTATCGACAAAGCTGTAAGTGAGTTTTAGTGTTTTTGAAGTATTACTCATCAAAAAATCGTTTGATTAGGACCTCCAATTTTGGCTGAGGACTTCTTTGGACATTCAGGGACAACCCATTAACCCTTGGTCGCGTATTTACCCAGAAGAAGAAATGATCCAAACCGTATCTCTAAGCTATTGATGTCATGAATTCTATTGCCCGTGGTCAGAAAAATCCCCATTTTCTCCGCTGCTGGTTTTACCTCACAACGAAATTGCTGCCCAGATCTGTAGACAGGCTGGTCTAGTAAAAGTACCTGGAAAATCAGTTAATTAGACGACCATGCTTAGACAACTTTGCTATTGTGTTTGCTGCCATGGGTGTCAACATGGAAACCGCCAGGTAAAAAATAGTTTTTGTATGTATTTTACTTAATGGTTTTTTTTTCATAGATTCTTCAAAGCAAGATTTCGAAGAGAATGGTTCATGGAGAATGTATGCTTGTTCTTGAACTTGGCCAATCCATCCAACTATTGAAAGAATTATTACACCAAGTTTGGCTTTTTGACAGCTGCTGAATTTTTGGCCTATCAATGCGAGAAGCACGTATTGCTATATTAACTGACATGTCTTCCTATGCTGAAGCTTTGCGTGAAGTAAGTACCTTTATTTATATAATTTTAATAAAAAATGGTATTAAAAGATACTAGTTCAATTCATATATTGTTTTTTTTTATTGATAAACCATGAATATTTTTTGTAGGCAATTTTAATTTTTTTTTTCTATTCATTCAGCTTTTTAATTTTATTCAAAAAATTATATTAAAATATGTATGAGTAATTAGTATGATAAACAAAAATGTTGGTAAATATAACGCACTCTGTAAATATTTGTGTGATCTATTTTAAGCAAGAAAAAAAATGAATGAAGGTATAATTTTAATTATACAGAAGCGACAGTAAGTTCAGTTCCTTTGAGTTTTGTGTCCTAAATTTTTGACCTTGAAGTCACATATTTTGACAGTTAAACTCACTTGTACAATCGAAAAGAAAAATGTCAATGATTTTATTGAATTTTTTTTCAAATACACTGAGAAAATTAATTCTAGCTGATATTTTATTGTGACGTTTTGTTTCTTAATAAAACAAATTCAATAAAATATAATTTAAAAATAAAATTATAAACGAGATTACAAAGGGGATTAAAATGGGAAATATTAACCATGGTTAGGCATATGTATATCTGTCCTTTTCTGTTTTTTTTTATTTGATGTAAAACACACCTAAAATTTTCTTTGAACATAAGTTCAAACAATTTGAATGAAATTTTTACAATAGTTGTCATTAAAACGGAAAACAGCGTATTTAAAAAGTAACTTTACTAATCCCAAAATTGAATTGTGTTTTTGCTTTTCACAAATATTTTACACGTAAAAGAAGTAGTTTTTACTCTCCTGATATTAACTTTGAATAAAAAGATTGGTAGTATAATAGACGGTGAGGCTATAGGGTGGGGTATCCTTGGCAGTTCTGTTTGACGATTTATTTGACACATTTGAATTTGATTCGAAATTTTGAGATTTGTCAGTCTTTAGTGAGCTTATTTTATGTTATTTACTATTTATTCTACGATCTGATAGTTGTTTAGAGGTAGTAACTCAAGAAGAAGGAAATTATGACAAAACTTACTACTTGTCAACGAATTTAGATGCGTCAATATGACTTAACCTGCTTCAGTAGCGTATCGGATGTTTTTGTTATTAAATAATTATTATAACTTATCGATTTTTATTAGAATTATACATTTTTATAACAATTTTAATAACTACCAACATTTATTGACAACATAAAATAAAACAACAAGTTATTGAGTCCACCCAACATCACATTTTACACGTTTGAAATATAATTAGAACGGCACTGATAAACCGGAATTTAAGTCGGCCATTTTAGGACCCCGTCGCATTCATTCTAAGATTTTTGATATGCTCCTGCCTTAATCTTTTTATTCAAAAAGCTTAACAGATACCTGATGCACTGTTGCAGTATCCTGTATAGTCATAACCTCATCACTTTTTCCAGGTATCCGCCGCCAGAGAGGAGGTACCCGGACGTCGTGGTTTCCCGGTTTACATGTACACCGATTTGGCCACCATCTACGAGCGTGCTGGCCGTGTCGAGGGTAGGAACGGGTTCCATCACCCAGATTCCCATCCTGACTATGCCTAACGACGATATTACCCTATCCTATTCCCGATTTGACCGGGTATATTACCGAAGGTCAAATCTACGTCGACCGTCAGCTGCACAACAGACAAATCTACCCACCTGTCAACGTGCTGCCATCTCTGTCCCGTCTGATGAAGTCCGCTATCGGGAGGGCATGACCAGGAAAGACCATTCTGACGTTTCTAACCAGTTGGTAAGTAAAGGTTTTTGTAAAACTAGTTTATTTTTTTTAAAGTACCATAATTTTGTAATTTTAACAAAAAAAATACTAAAGTATGTCAGTTGTTGTTATTGAAGTGAAACCACATCTTACAAACATCATAAGTGGTAATAACAAGATAGGGTAAGGTAATAAGAGGGTTACAGTTGAGGGTTGAGGGTGATATTATAGCCTAGAGCTGACGACATATTTAGAGAACATATTTTAGGCAAGCTAGAGTAACTAAAAATGTATAGTTTATTAACTGGTGAACCCAGAATCCTAAGTCTGGCTGGGGGGTTGGGGGTATTTCGCTACTGCGCAACCCATAACATTTGCAAAAAAATAAATCCAAAAAACATTCTTTAGGCAAAATTTGATTATTCTTAAATTTTAGCATCTATTTAACCTAGAAATAAGTGTGCCAGACTTTTTTTCCGGGTTTAAAGTGTAACCAGACCATTCCAAATATGTTTAATTATTATACCTGGAAAACATACTTTAGGCATTCTAAAATTTTTACAGCGTGTTTAGTAGATGATATTAAAAAATATGTGTTAATTGCCAGACGAATTCAATGGGATTTAATACTTGCCAGACGCGAATAAAGATTTTAAATGAGCGCGACAAAAAAGTCTTATGAGTATCTATAAGCGCGAGAAAGATAGTTTATTGAGACCCGGTCGGCAGCCGGCTGGGATTGAGGGCAGCCATTGTAGCTCAGTTTCTACAAGCTCTTTAATAGAAAAGAGCATTAAAGTTCACCCCTCAAGACCCAGCGCCTTTTAACATAGGCCGTTGGTGTCCGAGGGTGATATGTCTTTCTAGGTCTGAAAGGTCTAGCGTGGGTTTGCCAAACACCTCAAACCTGGTCCTGCCCCCAGCGTGGCAGGTACACATAACGTGCTTCATTGTTTCGTCATCTTCCATACAGAGTCGACATTCGGCGTCTTCCACCAGTCCCATTCTCTGTAGGTGTGATCTGTGCCGGCAGTGGCCCGTGTATACTGCAGTAAGCGTACGCGCTCTGTTCCTACCAGCCTTAGAGAAATTCATCTGTTCTACGTTTGGATGGCCCCTGCTATGATTGTCTTGGCATGTTCCATTCCGGGGACTGTCATACCAGTCCCGAAACGTCGCACCCCTAACCCATTCACAGAGCCTGTCTCTTGCGAGATTTTTGGTACGCTAAGTGTCGGTTCTGGGCCCACGAATGGCGAGCCTGCACCAGTTTTGGCGAGGAATCAGCACGTCATTTCCCCTCTAGGCCGACATGTCCCGATATCCATATTAGCGACACTTTGTTCCTATCTCCAATATATTGAGTAGTTTTACAATGAAGAGAATCGTCATGGACGTGCTTTTCGTTGCCTCCAAGTCCTTTCAACGCGGCTTGACTATCCGAAAAATATGCTTATTGTTTTCCCGGTGTATTGCTGTTCTACCAGCAGTTGCACACAGGTTTCAATAGCATATAGCTCAGCTTGAAAATTGTGGTGTGTTTTCCAAGACTGTGGTAGATCTCAGTCTTTGGACTGCTGCAGTAAATTCCTGCGCCAGATCCTTTATCGTCTTTGGATCCGTCCGTGTACCAACACATTTCGCAAGTAATAAGCCGTTTCACGGCTTATCCCATTCGTC